AGAAAATGAAAAAGTAAGAGAGAGAAGCGGGAAAATAAAAATGTACATGTAAGATATTTTTTAAAAAATATATTTCAGCTGTTGTTTTATAATTTGAATAGATCTGAACCGTTCATAATGTGATGTTTTAATTTTTTTTTTTTTTTTTTTTTTTTTTTTTTTTTTTTTTTTTTAGCAATCACATTTTGTTTTAAGGTTTTTTTTTTTTTTTTTTGAAATTTTGATGGTATATGGTCATGTTTATTTGATCATTCTTGTAGAAGTGTAGATGGGTTTTGAGATTATTTGTTTGACATAGAGGAGGTGGGTTTCAGTGTTGGGGGATAGCAGGGAAGGAGGTGCTGGTGAGGGGGAAAAGAGGGGAGGCAATAGCAAACAAGGGAAGGGAAAGGGGAGGTAGTGGTAGTGGTAGTGGTAGTGGTAGTGGTAGGGGTAGGGGTAGGGGTAGGGGAAGGGGAAGGAGGTAGGTGGCGGGTGGTGTAGGGATAATGGCCTAGGAGGTAGACGAATTGAGGGTTAGTCAATGTGGTTAGGACTATGTTAGGCTTGAAAATTGATGGTTTTGACCCAGTAGATAATTGATAAATGGTAATTTTAATCTAATGTGGTCAAGTTTAAAATAAGTATTAACATTAATTTGAAACAAGAAGTGAGAAAACATCATGTGTATTACAAAATAATTTCTCTATCAGATGACTTAATGAGAATGGATGGAAGATTAACATCGTTATAAAGTTTAAGTGTTGGGTTTAAATTGAAGAAATTAAAAACAAATGGTTTGATTTGTTACATGAGGTTAAAAAAGAAGAGAAATTTGGTGAAAAGTCCATCAAAGGGTAATAAGGCATTAGATCTAAAGTAAAATCTTATTTGGTGATAAGAACACGCTGGAAAAGGTCACCTGGAAAATTCGTTGGCGTCGGAAAATTCGCCAAAAAAGTCACTAGCATAAAAAAATTGTTGGCGGCCAATGGCCAGCGGCAATAGGTGGTGGTGGTAAGGTAGAAAAATGAGTGATGTTCAATAGATAAGTTGTTGAATGAGTGACGTATGTCACATTTGAATAGATAGTTAGTTTGATGAATTTCAATAGATAGACATATGGGTTGGTTTCAACGGATAGACAGATAGGTTGATTTCAACAGATAGTTGTCTTTTTGGACAAATTGTGTCTTTTTTGGCCCAAAGAAATTAAAGCTTGGGCCTAATGGCCCAAATTATTCAGAAATGGATTTATGGCCTGAGTGCCAAAAAAAAAAAAAAAAAAGAAAAAAAAAAAGAGAGCACATAACACATTATGCAATATTCTACTTTCCCTTCTTTGAAATTATTTTTATTTTATTTTTTAATTTGCAAACTATCACTTCCCGATTTTCAAAGATCAGGCAGACTATTCCCAAATGACTATTTTATCCCTAAAGAGTCAAAATTACATTTTTGCCCTCATAATTTCCAAATTCATTAAATAATCTAAATAACTCAGAAACACAGCTAAAATAATAAAATAGTCATGGACATATTTAAGAAACTAATAAGCCAAACTAGGGTAGAAATTATGAGAAAAATAGTAAATCAACTCTAATCCCACCATCTTTTAGACTAACTCATTTCAACCCATGATTAATCTAGTTACATCATTTTTCCCAATTTATCAATACTTTAAATATTTCTCAAAAAATTCAAAATTGTTCATATCACATGTTCTTAATACCATTAGTCATCAAACATGCCATAGATTACACTTTATGAGGTTTGAACAAAAGGCCCTAAATGAATGAAATAATACTTTTCATGATTTCAAGATAGATATGACAATATTATATCCAAAGTTCATGACATCATATAACAAGAACACTTTTAGAGATTCAAAACAAGAATCCAACTCTAACTCAAAAGTGTCTCAAGAAGGCATGGATCAACCAAATAACTCATGTTTTGAAACAAATACACACTAATCATGCTTCCACAGATAAATTCATACCATAAATTTTGAAACAAAACCCTAGCATGCTTTCTAAGCAAGATATGGGAAAACTCCTACCTTTACTTGAAGTTTTCAAACAAATATAGGAAAAAGAGAGAGAAGTTGGATGATCGAGCTTCAAGTGTTCCAAGGCTTCAATTTCTTCTCCAAGTTTCAAATGTTGCTCACAAACCTTTTCACAAATACATATTGATCTTACAAGGAAGTAAGCTTTCCAACCCCTTAAGTACAAGAGAAGGATCACCAATCTAAAGGAGGAGGTGGAATCAAAACCTTACCACTAACAATGGTGGAAATGCAAGACAAAAGAGAGAAAAATGAGGGAGGAGGTGGTCTTGCTTTGGGAGAGAAGTAGAGAGGAAAATCAGATTTTTGTGTCTGGCTATTCCTCTCTCTAAAACCCTAGGATGAAGTAAATAAAGGATCTTTTTTTCTCTCTTCGAGTGTAGCCCATGTCTTCCAAGTGAAGACCAATTAAGCCTCTCATTAAACCTT